GGCCGGAAGTCCAGAACATTGTTAACATTGTTCTTTAAATAAGCAAACCACTGGAATGTCTAGGTGTTTCAACAGCCTTACCTAAGGGGGGGGGGGATCAATTTTGGCTCCACCACTCCCCCTTGTGGGCACTAAAAGCAGTACAAGTAACAAGTGACTGACATTCAAAATCTCTGGTTAACCCTTGTCTTCAAATAGGGTTTAACCAAATCAATTAGTTCCTTCACCTTTATTTGTATCTGCACATGCAACTGCCTTTTTAAAGGCGGTTACAGGTCCAATTCTCCACACAGCCTGTCTGCCCTGAGTTCCTGTCATGTGCCAGCCACGGCACTTGGGGAACTGAGATGAATAAAACATAATCCTCATTTCAGACAGCTGGTCCAGCCTTTTGCTTCCACGGCCCTATTTTGTGCCAGAATCTTCTACCCATATATTGGTCTCTATTGACTCTCTCGTCTCCCTTGTCTTTTGCTTCACCATTCTCCTCCTCCCTCCAGCTCCTTCAATCGCTCCAAAACAGTGTTCCTCACACTGTTTGCCGAAGGGTAAAACTCAGTTTGCAAAACAAGACTCTGAGAGGCAGTGATGACAATACAAAGAGCATGTGTAAAATCATAACACCTGGGCACTATTAAACAAATCCAAATCCTACCTTGCTCCTATGTCTGTCGCCCCAAAGGTTCAAAAAAGCACTGGGCATTTCCTGAGTACCAGGCTTTAAAGTACCAGTACAACACTTTCTGTGCATATCGCATTCCGTCCTCGCGCCAATACTAGGAAGCCCCATTTGCTGGAGAAACTTAAGCTTAGGCTGTCTGAGGTCAAAAGACGGGTTCAGTGAGTCAAATTTAGACCTTTATCTGATTCCAGGTTCCATTCCTTTAACCAAACCGTACTGCACAGCCCGAAGTTAAGTCTGACTAAAGCATGAACGCGGAATAAAGGGTGGGGGCGAGGGAGCAACCAGGGAACTAAGAAGCCAAACTGCTTTGCTCGAATCTTCTCAGGAACTAAAAGGGGAGGGGCGCCCAGTGGAAGGTTTTCTCTTTCCAAACAGTGAAGACCGGAGGTTCAACCAGAGACAGTTGGGAAATGAGAAGCAGAACCTTAAAGGGACCTCCTCCGGCTGTGACAACAGCTCCCTAAGTCCCTTCTTCCCAAAACGGTAAGGTACAGCGTACCCACAGCTACCCCTCCCCCTGAGCAGGTGGGGTTAACTTCCCCGAGCCGCGCTCCCTGCAGCCTTCCCCAAGCCTCGGAAGTCTCGCCGCCTCTCTCCCTTGCAACCCCAGCTCTTCCAGCAGCGGTCCCGCCCCCGCCCCGGGCTACTCAGCGAGCTCAAGGACGCGCCTTCATCCGACTCCCGGCCCCGGCAGCTGCGCTCGTCTTCTTCGGCGCTCTCCAGCTCTTCGTCTTCCTCGGGGTAATACTCCGGCGCCGGCGGTGCTCCAGCCGGGGCCGGAGCCGGAGCCAACAGCCCCGCGGCACTCATGTCGCCTCTGACAGCAGCTCAGAGAGCCACCCCGAGAACCGCGGCTAAGCACCCTGCAGACTCGACGCCCGCGAAGCAGCACCCGAGGGCGCAGCCAACTTAAAAAGCGGGAGCCGCGGCGACCTCTTGCCAGCCTCCGGCAAGCTCCGCCCCTCTCGCCCGCGCTCAGCAACGGGGGCTTTGCGCCGGTGGCAACTTCCGGGTCGCGAGCTGTCCGAGGGCCGCCTGTCTCCGCCATCTTTCAGGGAGTACAGAGGCCGCCGGACGCCTCCTTCGCCTTAATCCCAGCTGCTTCATCGCCGCCCTAAAATCCTCAACGGGTAGTGCGTAGAGACATAGTCCGGATCTCTAGGGTCAGGCAACTCCATTGGGCAAGCCTGACCACGGCCAGGACCCCGATGCTCCGAGGCGACTTCCAGAAATAGCCGCCAGGCGGCGCCTGGGGCCAGAGCTAAAACGAGCTCCATTAGCTATTTGAGGGTCGGAGAGGGTTAGAAGGGCTTTGGGCAGGTGGAGGTGGTCTCTTCTTAAACAGGTGAACGACATTAAACCTAGACATCTAGAGTTTGCGTGATTATCCTGAAGAAGAGGAGCCTGGCTCCGCCCTGGCTGGTGGAAAAGGGAGCCTGGCTCCTCGCCTAATTGAAGCTTTATTGAAAACTAAAATAAAGATAAGGATGCTGATATTCCATACTGGAGTCAGCAAAACAGTATTTTCCCGCTCTCTGGGAGTCCTTTCTGTTTGTATAGGTTTACTCAATAAGATGTTATCCCGATTTTACAGATGAGAAAGAGCTGTCACTTGCCCTAAAAAATGATAGCATCCAGTCAGCCTTCTTTAGACTCAGAGCCAGGCCCTCTACAGTACAGCTTCCTCATATTTCTTAGAATATTTTTTTTAATGCCCCCCCCAATCTAATAACTTGCTAACCTGCTCTCAACTGGCACATTTGCCTACAGGAAGTTAATTAGGCTAACTTAAGGACAGTGTTATGCAGAAACAAAACGAGAATGAAAAAACAGAAGAGGGGAATCTGCCGCAATTGATTTGTGTGATTCCCTCTGAACAGAAGGGGACACAGTGTTACAAGCTTTGCTTAATGAACAAATTTAGGATGTCCCTTCTCTCATTGCGGGTAGCAAGAAAAGGGACAAGGAAAAAGACAGAGCTGTAAAATGGTTTGTCCAAAGTAGCCCTACTGTCTGCGTTGTACCAAGTCTCCAGAGAAAAAGTAACTGATAAGTAGTCAAGTTCAACACAATGTAAAAATACAGGGTGGAATCCAATAGTGTGATTCTCAGGTCCTTTGTGACTCAATTTATCTCTGAACAAGCCCCCAAAGCGTCTTCTCAAAGTACAGAAAGTTATTCTCCCACTTATTTTACCATTTCTTATTTTGTGCTTTGTCTTCATTAAAATCTTGGCTATATTTGTGAGAGATTCTTCCTCCCAACAAAACTCAAGAATTTCCATAAAGGAATGCTGCGATGTCTTTCCAGCAGTTGAGAGACCTTCTGAAGCCCCTTCTAAATAAGTCATTCTCAGGGCTCACTGTAGGTCCACTGTCTATATATAAACTAAGATTTCAGAACTGTCTGTTGTCCCAAGAATGACATCATTTTCTTTTTTTAAGCTGTTAGATCACATGTAATTGTTCGTAATCAACTGTATTGAGCAACTTGAGTTGCTATCAGTAGCAGTAATTATACATCAGAAAAAGCACCAACATTTTAGAAATTGCAGTTCATTGATTTAATGAATCAAAAAGAAAAAGAGTTGATTTCTTTGCCAATTGGTTTCCTTTCAAGACACTTGATTTTTTTAATCTCACTTATGTTTTATTTCTGTTTTCTTGATTGCAAATAACATCTGTCAATGGTCATGCATTTCTTTTTTTATATGAATAGACACAGCTGAACACTTGAGTGGTAAAAACTTACCCCTTTTTTTTTCCAGTACATATTGCCAACCTTAGAATTGGTAGAATGAGCTCTTAATACTCTTTAGGGAAGGAGGACCTAGCTATTTTAATATAATTGTTTTGGGCAGTGTTTCTAGGTCTATAAAAATCAAGTTCCCTCAAAACTAAGTTGTTACCATCTTGAAATGCCTCTGTATCCCTTCCCCAAATGGCAGAAGTCACACTGCTCAGAAGACATCTATTTCGGAAGTAGTCTTCAAGTCCTGCCAACCCCATTATACAGGCCCTCTCTGCCTACCCTAACACTCAAACTTCACAGGGGAGAAATGTAACTGGAATGCGGCATGATTTTAAAACAGTAGGAAAAACATACAGGGTGTAGAAGGCAAATTTTGTCAGTAGGAGTGGACACAAAAAATAGCACATGGAGAGTTTTTGAGAGTGAAGTCCTACAAGGCCTGGGATCAACTCATGTTTGTAAAATGAAACAATTTCTTCATAAACAATTGGTCAAAGTCTATAAACTTTGGAGTTTAGGGATGAGAGGAGCAGGTTTCAGTTTCATGTATTGTTCAATCAACATATCCAATTTCACAAAAATAGAAAGAATGGCTCTGGGTAACATGATGCACTTTCACCCCTGGCAGGCATCATGTTTCACCTTGGGTCAAGGTGGGTCTCTGGTTATCACGGGTTGCACTTGGGTCAAAGTTTATTATGCTTTGGCCATTGGTTAACACAGAACCATGAAAACATGTGGCCCTAAAAGAGTATGTTGAATAGGCTTGCTGAAACCTTGCTAAAGCTAACCAAGTTTCCCCTACCACACAGTTCCTGTTCCGCCTGTAATATCAAAACTCACAAACTGATTATTTCTAAAGCTCTGTCCTTGTACCTATCAAAATGTGCCCCATCAGTGGTGAGTAGTTGTGCAGAGCGTGCATCTAGTATACAGATTTCTTCTTCCAAGAGCATTATTAAACTGACATCTTTTGAACGGAATACAACGTGAGGCAACTCCCTTGACAAAGCTACAAAAAGAGCTTAATTCATAAAGCATTTTCAAGTACTGAGTGAAAAATGCTATATTATTTTCTGGCAGAATTACTTAGAAAGCTGTGCAAGGTCTGGCGGGAGAATGGGGTCCTCCTCAAAGGCTCTAACATGGTGGTCCAGGGGAGTCCCAGAGGGCCCTAGACTCTGGGAGCTTCCCAAGAAAAGTAAAGGAGCGGGGAGGAGTGCCATGAACTTTGACTACAGCTCAGCACAAACAAGAATGACCGCACCCCAAGCTGGCCCTTGAGTAACTGAAGTTGCAAGGTCTTCCGTGTCCAAATAAAACCCGCCCCCTTTCATCCCGCCCACCGTCAACTCCGCCAATCCTCAGGCGCCATCGACAGCTCGGCTTCTCAGACACCTTCAATCAAGTACCTATATCCGGGCACAGGCTTGCGCCCCGCGATCAAGGAAGGTCAGTAGAGAGCCTATCAGAGTCGAGCTGGGGGCGTGGTCGGAGGCCGGGGGCGGGCGGACTGAAACCTTGGGGCGGAGCACGCTCGGCCCAGTCGAGTGCGATTGGCCACCCCTGGCAAGAGCCGCACCTCGGACAGCAGCAAGCGGCGGCAGCGGGAGGGTCTGTGTGGCGCCCGGCGGTGGTGGCGGCGGCAGTGGGGTCCTGCGTGAGAGAGTGGGACGCGACACAGAGATCGCGGGCGGGGGCCCCGCGAGGCCGGCCGGGGCACTCAGCGACCGGACTTAGGGATCCTCCAGAGGACAAGCGACAGAAGAGCGACTCGGGAACAAGTGTGGGAGAGGAAGCAGCGGCGGCGGCGACGCCGGGCCGGGGTGGTGACAGCAGGTCTGAGGTGAGAGCACCAGGGTGCGGGACTGTGACAGCGTGAGCCTAGGCGAGGGGACCCCGGGCGGGATGAGATCCGCGAGGAGTGAGGGGAGTTCCGGGAGCGGGTTTGACAATCGGGACTGTGGAGAGCAGACCCCCAGAAGAGCTGGGGCAGGAGGGCTGAGGGGAAGCCTTAGGAGGAGCAGGGGACAGTGAGTCTGGGAGGGGACGCCGAGAGGGTCCGGGACAGCGGGCTCGAAGAGAGCGAGCCCTGAGAGGGTCCTGAGCAGCGTATCTGAAAAGAAGGGACCCCGAGAGAGAGCGGGACAGCACATCTGAGGGGAGTTTCCTAGAGGGGCCGGGACAGGTGTGAGGGAGGGTCCCCGAGAGGGGTGGGACAGCGAGTTTGAGGGGCGTCCCCGAGGGCGGCAGGGACAGCAGGTCCGATGGGGTCGGAGCAGAAAGTCTGAGGGTGGAGGGGACCTCGAGAGGAACTGAGAAGGCAGATCTCGGGGGGCTAGGTTCCCCAGAGTGACCGGGCCAGCCGGTCTGAGGGGTGGGGAGCCGGGTGGGGCGCTGAGCACGCCCGGGCCCTGCGTGGGAGAGGCGCGAGAGCGTGGGTCGGGGTCGCTGCGCGGGGCAGAGGGACAGCGCGCAGCTCGCAGGGTCGACAGCCAGCCGCTCTTCCTCGGGGTGGTGGTGTGCGAGGCGTGGGACAGCCTGGGCCCCCGTGACTCCGTGGGTGACTGTGGAGCGGGGGTTATGTAATGAAACATCTAAGTAGAACGCACGGGCCGGAGGGTCTGGCAGGAGCACCGAGATCTTGAAACCTCGAGAGGGCCGGCGGGACCTGCTCGCTGGCCCTTCCCTTTCGCGTCTCAGGGCTGGGCGTGGATGCCTAGAAAGTGAGGGGGCTTCCTGGCCTTAAATGCCTCGTCGGAACGTGAGCAGTTGGGGCGGGCTCCTTCAGCCCATCGCAAGCAAGTCGAACGAGAAAGGGATCCTTTTGGACACCCACGTTTGGGATCGATTGGGATGTTTCTTTTCATGGACCCTGTATCTTTCATTCTAGGTCCGGAAGGACCTGGGAAACTTTTTCAGATCTGGCAGCCCATCAGTGTCAATGTCTACAGTGCAGATTGAGGGGAATGCGTGCTCAGTGTGACTGTTAACACTATGATATGTTGGAGGTAGTTGGAAGGTCAGGCTCAATTTTGAAAAGAGCTCTTGGAGTTGCTAAACGAGCAGCACTTTCCAATTAGACTTCTCGTCGGACAAGCTACCGGGGCTGAGCTTCAGGTGTAATTCCAGGACGAACCGAGGAGAGAGAGAGAGCCTGTTTAAACCAGGCGCAGTGTGCCATGGTGGGAGGCAAGCGTGTGTCTGTTAAAATGCCAAGATAAACAGAGGAAAGGAGTTGGGGGGGGGGGGCGGGAATTCGGGGTGGGGGGCAGACTTCTACTTTGAGGGATGTGAGAAGGAATCTAACGACCAGGCTAGTAATTCAAAGTACTCCGCGTGTGTTAACACTGCCCTGGCTACCTTTCAAAGGCTCTGAGCAGCGCACGTGCTTTGGTACTGTTGCATCCAGCAATTTTGCAGGTGATTTTTTTTTTTACCTGTTTTTCTCTGTGCGTTGCTTCTCCCTTACCCCTTCTCTTTGCAACAGGTTTCTTTCTAATAGAAGCAAATGTAGAAAATGATGGCGTTGGGGAAATAATGGTGAATGTAATTAGTAGATCCTTTCACAATTATTTCGATATCCTCTTTGTTTCTGGTTTAGAATGTGTCTTATTAGAAGCCTTTGCTCTTTGCCCACATTTAGCGATGGGCAGCTTCTAACTGAGAGGGGGAAAAAAATCCTGAGTTATTTCCCAGAGACAAAATGCAGAAGGCTTACACTGAACCGCCTATTTCAACCCAAGATAGAAATTCCAGAAGTCATCCTCATCGGGGTGATATTAGAGGACATCTGGGGATTTTATTTGATATTACCTGATCCAGAACACTTCTTATCTGGCTCCAGAAAGTGTGGAACCTCGTGTGGTTATGAAAAATCCACCAGCCAGAAGTCCTCCTCTAAGAAATGGCAGTCATGGAGATAAGGGGAACAACGACAGCAAATACAAATGTTAAATACGAGACAACCATAATTTTATTTTTTTTCCAGAACCTTAGGTGGAATGCAACTAAAAACAAGGTCAGTTAACACAAAAGGTTATTTGCAAGGGGCATATATTCACCCTGTAGTGCATGTAAACATCCGAAATGGTCTGTGGAAGGATTGGGAATCTCAGTACCAATAATTCTACAAAGTAATGGAACTGTTGGAGCAGATAAACTCTTTTATCATACTTGTTAGCCCATTCGTGACCCGTACAAATGGTAGTTCCTTAAGATAAAACATTGGATTTATCTACTTGTAAGAAAAGAAAGTGTTCTGATACTCCCCTGAGTGATTACTAAAGCAGTCATTTCAACCACATTACGTCATGATATTGATCCAGAGGCGTGGAAGAGAGATTCATTGTAATAGAATTTTTAGTGATAGGAGGGGCCTAAAGTAACTGTTTATTCCTGGAGGAGAGGAGGGGTGTAGGAGAGTAGGAATTCTGTGGGAATTTATTTTCATTTGTTTCATAAAATAAAACTCTAAAACTATAAATATGTGAAGTTAGTACACTTATGCTCATTTAAACTGTTTCTTTCCCGATAAAAAATATAATCAAAAGGAGAGCTTAAGAAGGAGCCTTACACTTCCATGTGAATGGTTACAGCAGCCACAGAATGTAAATTGTTTTTGGTTTGCAGTTCTTATACTATTAGTTTAGCAGGATGCACGTACTGCCCAGTAATACAATAACCCATTTTATACTTTCTTTACCGCTTGAGTCCTATACAGTCAAACCATTGTAATATGCGAGTCTACCTTGATATCTAATTTATTTTAATGTTTAAGCCAATTTGAAAAAAAGTTCTCATCTCTTGCCAGTGTGCAGATTTGGTGATTTCAGTCATATAGGAGAATGAATGAAAACTGTCAGTACTTTTATTTTAAAGTCTTTGTTTTAAAGCCTTTTTTCCTTTATAATCTTTTCCTCCACTTTGTTCCTTCCCTCCCCCCTAAAAAGAAAACAAAGTCCATGTAAAAGTGTGTGACTACTGAGAGAAATCTGACATTTTCTAATTTCTTTTCATTTTTCAATGAGCGATTCCTGTCAATCAGAAGATAGTTTTGAATTAGTAGTTTTGAGTTGCAAAATAGTGTAATTAATTGCATTTCACCATAAGGAGTTTAGTTTGTAGTTGTTCAGCCTTATATTTAGTGATTTGATTGGTTGCTTCATTATTTATGAGGCTATATTAAAATTTCATTACTGTTTCTTAAACTCAGACTCAGCTTAGTAAAAAACAAATAATAATAAGTGACATCCAGCTACCTATAATTATAGGTTATATATTTTCATTTATAGGCCAAAATGTGATCGTACTCATTTCTAACCTATGGTCCCCAAGTTAAAAACAAGAACTATTAAAATAAAATTTAAAAAAAAAACTAAAAAAAAAGAACTATTTAGAATTTTTATGATAACCAGTAGGAATTAAACTGATAAATGTTATGATTTCAGCTATACATATGTTGTTAAAGTCACCTAATACTATGTAAATCAACACAATTTTTTTCCTACTTGAGATTTGTTAGAGACATTGAAGTATATTTTAAGTCTAAGTCATTTCTGTATTCCAACAGCAAGACTGGAGGGTCAGTGTTTTGATTTGTTAACACAGGACAGCCCCCTAACCATTGTCGCCTATCTCACCAATACACATTTTTCATCCCCAGAGGGAGCGAGAAAAAGAAGATGGCTTGGAATAACATTTTTTACCTAGCAAAACCTCCTCCCATTAAACAAAGCGATGTGGCCCACGTGTCTTTAGTTCCCAAGCTGGAATTTGTAAGCTGGAGTCTAGTGTTTTGGGCTCTTTCACTTCACCTTTGGCCTCAAAGAACCGATGGATAACAAAATCAACCCCACATTGTACGCTTCGATATGCTTAATATTTAATTAGTCAATTATCAAAGTACTCATTGAAAGAGTTCGATTTTACTTTCTTCCACTGTCTTTGATGGACAATGGTATAACTTTTTACTTCTAGTTCAAACCAGGACTCGTATATATTTATTTTTATGGAGTATGTTTCACTTTCTGTCTAATGACACTGGCTTGTATCCATAGCAATCAAGGCTATGACAGTCCAAACCCATTTTATTGGCCCACTACAATAGATGACACTAACCAATGAGGAATGCTCTCTTAAATAAATTAATCACCTAATGACTCTTGGCAGTAGGCACACAAAACAGAATCATAGTTCATGGCTAATTTTCCTTCTGTTGTGAACATTGGCCCTTACTTACTGAAAGGGGTGTGTGTACAAAAAGATTTGTACACAAATATTTCCCCAAACCACATAAGTATAAATTTTAAACGATCCAAGCCAAGATTTAATAGCTGAAATACAAAATTACAATATTTTGCTCCATACACCTTTATGCTTCCATTGTCTCTTGTGCAAAAAAAATCCCTTCTGTCACTGTATTCCAGTTCCTTATTTTCATATGTTTGCCTTTTACTAGCTTGTAAGCACTTTGAGGGCAGAGATGGGTCTTGTTTATCTTTGCATTTTCCCTGCCAGGTACAGTATCAGGCATAAAGTATGAAGGATGCTCAATAGATGTGAATTGGAAGAGTAAATGAATTAGTGATCAACAAATAACTAGGTTATGTCCACACTTTGTTCCTAGCCTCCCTGAGACCTTTTCGTATATGAAAAGGGTAGCAAAAGAAGGAACAATTTTTGGGGAACACAAGAACAAGTGTTGTCCTTATTTATCTACCATATAAGAAACAGAATACTGTATTAGAAGGAGAAAGGGCCTTAGCCTTAGAGATTCCTAGGCACCTATTTTGGCTTTGTCACCATGCCAGCTGGCTGGCACTGGGTAAGTTACTTAAGTCGTAA